TGCCTTTCCATCCACCGTAAGACCTTTGCACGTGGAGCTGTAAACGCTCTTTTGCTTTCATGTTTACCTCTTCAGTGTGCCGAATCGGGGCGAAAGAGAATATACCAGGCAGAAGAGAAGGAGCTTGCTGTGAAGTTAGACAGCACCCAGAAAACCATGGGGAGGGTCTGAGTGAGAAGCAAAGGGAAGGAGGAGAAGCATGAACTTGCACTGGCTGTTCTTTGGTTTAGGGTTGGTTTATTATTTTGATACCATTTCAGTATGTGAAAAGCTGCCGGTGACCCAGGGTTGACAGGTGTAAATATTGCTAGCGCAAACCAAAAGAAAATTAAAGAGGGGAAAGTGAACCCAAGCGGTGACAGTGAATTCTTTGTCAGTTGTTGGCAATTTTTTTGGTGTGCTGTGACTTGGTTTCTCCTACTGGCTCTGTCGAGGTGACCCTTGGTGAGACCTTTGCTATCTTAAACTGTATGTGAAGGACAGGGTCCTTTTACTCCTACAGGCACTTCCTTGTGTTTGGATGTACAGAGACATGAAGTACGTTATTACAGTGCTGATCTTTCCGTGCAGCCTCTGTGATCCGTAGAAAGAAAGATGCTGGTCAAGTTTGGGCTGCATGAAGACCCAGAGCATCCCATGTTGATGCAGGCTCTAGGTTAGGACAGATTACGTTAGTGAATTGGTGTGGATGCCCTTCAAAGCTCTTACTCAGTCTTCTGTAAACCTTGTGCAATCAGATACTTAAAGACACCTGAGTATATTGTAAATTTAATCCGCGGTACTATTATTACATGAAGCCAGAAGTATTGTCGCAGGGGGAACGGGAGCAAGATCTAAATGGGCAAGGTCCAAGATAAACATCAATGCTAGAAAGATTTAAAGACTCAAACAGAAAACAGAGTGGAAACCAAATCTGAAAAGAAATAATCTTAAAACGCTACAGCGCTGTATCATCTGTCTGTCATTAAAATCCAGCGCTTTCCTTTTTCCTGTGTTGTCTTCACTGAACGGTCGCCAGGGCTTTGTGGCCAGGGCTTTGTGGGGCGCAGGGGGGGACAGCACCCAGAGCCCCGGCTCTGAGGCTGGGAGGCTGAGCTGCCCTGCGAATATCGCTGAAGTTGCTCCTGCGAGCTGGCGGCCGTGGTTTTTACCTGCTGACTGCTTGTCTCTCCGGTTCAGCGGAGAATTCGCACAAGCGATTAAGTCCATTCCAATCAGCGATGCCTAGGGCTTAGATTGACTTCCATTTCATTAGGATTTAAGCTTGTCTGTAAATTTTAACACATTAATTGTTGAATCAGGCCTAATTTACCTCCTGTTTGAGCCAAAGGGACCCATCCTTTTGCTGTGGGTAGCGTCGGATCAGGACCGTGAAGCAGGTACACGTTTGAGCAGTGCTGCTGTGATTCGCTTACAAAAAGCACGTGAGGTATGCAAACCGTGAACGATGTAAAAGGAATCGGCAATCTCAGCCTCGATCCCAAGCAACCGATAGCTGCGGTTCAAAGCCAGCCGCCGAAGCGGCTGCCAGTTGGCAGCAGGAGGTGGGGAATGCGTTTAAGCCGTGTAGGAGCTCTGCATGCTATTGTGGGCTCTGTGTCAGGCTACGGCTCTGGTTTTGGATGCAACGTCTGGCGAGCAGAGGGTGTTCAGCCTCGGCGGCGATCTGTTCAGCGGGAAATGATCTTAGATGGAGAGCTGGCGACCGCCCCCCCCCCCCCCCCAAAAAAAAACAAACACATGTTTATTTGGGGGCGTTTGGGGAGCGGGGGTGCAGGGAATGTCAGTCGGGCAGAGTTGCAGCTGCGTCGGCAGCAGCGTTGTCTCCAGCACTGCCCTGGATATCGCTGGGTACAGCTCCAGTTCTTCCAGTCAAGGAACAAAGGGCTGATGCCCGGGGAGGCCCTAGGTACTCGGTGTAGGCATTTCCATCCTGAGCTTTCTCACAGAAAAGAGCTGCAGGAGTGAGGGAGGGGAAGAGACATCATGAGGAGATGCAGAGGCAAGAGAGGATTTCGTGTGACCCCGAATGGCTGACGAAGGATGATACGGAAACGGAGCCAGGGAGTGAGACGTGGCCACTTGTTCACTGACGAGCGTGTGCCAGTACCACAGCGACATGTTACCAGCCTACGATCAGGACTCCTGGCGTGGGCGCTGCTATTTTGGGCTCCTGATAGCTGTTGGGAGTAACAGATGAACCTCACAGCCCAGCACTTCCCTTCTTTATCACCGTGGCCCGGCGGAGCAGGTCTGGGAGTGGAGACCAGGGTACTGCTGTCATACTCTGGTGCTTCTGTTCCTTGCCTTTCATTTATCCTTCTGCCCCATTATGGAGCTGATTGCCAAAACAATTCCAAGTGGTGCCTGCTCCCTTTGAGCTACTAATCTCATGTTTTACCTCTGTGTATTCAAGGCTGGCATGCAGCCCCGGGGGCAGAGGTGGCCAAATCCAGGCTCCCCTCTCTAATCTTCACCTTCTGAGATTATCTCCAAAATCCTGCTCCTCCGGGCGTTTCCATCCAGGTAAACTGGTGTCCCTGCTCACTCGCAATCCTTGCTGCGTGCAGCTATTGCGGTTAAATCTTCTTAGTTCAAAGGTGAGCCTCGGAGTGAGGTGGGTTTGCTTTGTTGATATGTTAATCACATTCCTCCTGGTTTTGTCTTCTCTATGTAGTTGTGTGCTTAAATTGCAATGCTTGGTCGCCTTCAAGAGCAGTTGCTGTGAGGTGTTGTCCCTGAGTTAAATTCTGTAATAAATTACAATAAATGAATAATAAATTATATGCCATTGATTAGAAGATGGAGAATAGACCTCCAGAGCCTTCAGTAGCTTTTGTGGTTTTTCAGCTCAGGTTTCAGCTGTTTCGTCTTCTCTTCAAGAACCAACAGAGTAAAAATATTTTCGCCAGAGCTGGCTCCATGCAGAAACACATGGATGTGGTTGTATGTCTCTGTTTACGTATCAGAGTATCTGTGTTGGCTGGGTACTCTCTGTTATCCGAGGCATCTCAGCTTGCCATTGCTCTAGTTAACGAAGAGTTTAATTGGCAATTTAAGGGTTGTGCTTTTGCAATCCAATTTTCAATGTGCTTGGGAACATCTTGGGACCATCATCCAACGAAGCCTGGCCCCCTTCCCATTGATTTCTCGATTGAAGCGAGATGTTTGTGGAAGGAGGTTTCCATCTCTACCATCCCTCTTTCCCACCCCCCTGTCTTCACAGTCATAAATTACTGCAGTTAATTCATGGTGTCTAGCTTTTCCCTGTGAACTGGAAAACAACGCTGTGTGAATCCTGGGACGGTGCTCTGGGGCTGAGGAGTGCCGGGAGATGTTCAGGGTGTCCTGGAAGGCGATCCCAGCACTTCTTCTCGCTAATCCCATTAGCTCGCCCCGGCCGCTGTGACAGGGCGCTGGGGAGCCGGGCTGCAGGCTGGCCGAGCGCTGAGCCATGCACACAATGCAAGGGTGACTTCAAAGGGGCTCCCTGCAATTTGCATTTCCAAGCTCGCACAGCCAAGGTCTGCAGGAGGGGATGAAAGTGTCTTTTGTTAAACTTAATGGCAGAGTTGATTAAAAAAGCTCTGATTTTGCCCTATTAGTGGCATAGCCTGATTCCACTGTTAGGCTTTCAGCATCTGGGGGAGGATGAATTCTGGGGAAAAAAAAAAGCACACAACAAAAGTAACATGTTGCCTACCCGGCTGTGTTTGTACTCAGGGATATTCCAATATCGTTTGTCCTAATTTGAGAGCTATGTAGTAGCTGTCTTGGGTGGGTACATGCATGAATAACAAAGAAATTATTAGCAAATTTTCATTAGGCATCTCCCTTTGCCGGGGCCTCAGCAGAGCCGCGGTGTCTGCCTTGTCAGAAAATGGGTCCCAAATATCTCCAACTGGATTCTCAAAGCGAGAAAGTAAAAGGGCTGATTCACGCGGTTGGGTGCGTGTTTCAGTGATCACATATGCAAAGCCCTCCTCAAAACATCCCTGAAACGATCTGCCGTGTGCCAGCACGTAGCTGTTGATTATCTGTTCAAAATAAGCAGTGACTGGTCTGGTCTTCAGAGGTTTAGTAATTTCCTTTCTTTGCTTTGTTTGAAGAATATTGGCAAATAATTTCACATCTGGATTTATGTATTAAATGTCTCCTATATTGCATAAAACAAAGCACCTAATGAAAGAAATCTGTCTATTTAACTCCTGTCTTAGCTTTGGTTCTGTTTTAGCAGTAACTCTTACCGCACTCGTGGAAGATTGAAGAAACATTTCCTATTTCAGGGCTATCAGTGCTGGGAGTGGTTTGATTTTCTATATACGCTTTAAATTCTGTCTCTGCTAGCATGACTCTTCCTGCTATGTTTATCAATATTAAGTACAAATTTGGTTCAGAAATAGAAAACAGTATGTTAGCTGCTTTAAATAAACATCAATCTTTTTTTTTTTTTTTTTTCCCCAGCTGTTTATGTTTTCTCTTCTAATCAAGGCTGGGTATATTCCTGAATATACCCTTCCCCCTCATGCGAAAAGCATTCATTTCATACCCGTTAATGCATATTCCGTCTAACCTGAAATGCTGCTGCCTGGGTTTACCAGGCAGTGGAAGGGGGTTTTTTGTGTTTGTTTTTTTTTTTAAAATAATATTCAAGATCTTGTTGAATATAAGGATTATTTGTGAGATACTGAGAACTACCTGCAGCAGTGTGGGAATCCTTGAAGGTTAAAATCACGCGGGGCACAAAGGCCGTGCCGTGCCCCCTGCGTTACCTAAGGACCATATAATCCCTTATCACAGGCTTTTAATGGAAGGGAAGGCGGGATGCGGGCTCCTGCCCCGGGTGAGCCTCACCCAGAACGAATCGCGGAGTGAAGACAAACGCAGTAAGCCCCTCGCGTCGGCCTCTCGTCGTACCAGTGCCAGCTCCCCGTAGTGACGTTTTGTTGCGAAGTCACATGTGAAGTGTTTCACCCTTTTGTGTTTATGATTGATTTCAGGGACGAGTATGAAGAGGACGGGTTTTGCCAGCCCTACAGGGGAATCGCTTGCGCACGGTTTATTGGAAATCGAACCATTTATATGGAGTCTTTGCATATGCAAGGGGAAATAGAAAATCAGATTACAGGTGGGTAAACAATGCGCTTGCTTCTTCCCCACAAAGCTGTCTTTTCCCAAAAAGCTGCTAGAGTTTTATAAACTGCAATTCTATTTTTATTTGCTCTTTATCCTCTCTCGCCGTGAGCTTCCCACCACAAAGCTGACCCGGGACTCCTGCGTTGCGCGGTGTCAGTGGAGGGAGTCATCTGAAGAGTGACGATCTGAGCAGCCTTCATGTCTCTGCTCAGCCAGCTCCCCCAAAACAAGCTAAAAAATGTTTTTCCAAGGAGAAGGGCCTGTGTATTGGCAACTTCTGGGAGGCTCATAGCCAGGCTACCTGGTGCTGCTGTTACTCAAGAAGATTTTAAAAGTGAAGGGAGACCAGATTTAGTTGCTTTTTATGTGGTTGAGATCATTTAGGTGCTGGAAGAGGCTGCATGAATAATCCAGCAGGTAGTGGTTTTCCTTCAGGTTTAGTAAAGAACCGGTTTTCATGATTTTTGTGGGAGATGCTGTGCTGAGGGGGATGCTGAATTCAAGCTGAGGCCTCATAGATACCATGATACTTCTCTGTCTTTTTATATAAATTAACCTTGGCCAGACCCTAGCCACGTTAATCATCTTCTCTATATGCAGATTTTCTCTCGCTGTCAGAATATTCCAAATTTCTCTTCCCTTAGAGCTTTCTTCCTTTGTCTCCAAACACATCAGCATGGCGAAAAAGGCTTTTGCATTGCTCACAGGAAAGGCCGACGGTTTCTATACAGCCAACGGTTCATAATCTTATGCTATTTTGTTTGAAAAGTCATTTGGGATAGTATGAAAGCTGTCATCTTCCACGAAGGAACTGGTACTGTCATCCTGCCACCTGCAGCCACTTTAGTTTTTACCTGTTGGGTAACAGGCATCCAAATGTTGTATGACTTTGCAAACCATTAGAAATTACTTGGGGGGTGGGGGGGAAGGATAATTAGGTTTGGGGTTTTGGTAATGTGCTTAACATTAATCCCATGTTGAATACATCCCAGATGTATTTTCTCTGTCAGCGAAATCAGCATCGTTAATAACTTTTAATGTAATTAGTCGTCTGTATTTCTGGAAGGCCCGTTCATCACCTGAACATCTGAAAATAATAGTCGCAATGGGAAGTGAGGGTTATACTGGGAAGGCAAGAGCACAGGAATAAAATTCCCACCGGGTCAAGTAAAATCCTTTTGTATATTTTACAGCTGCCTTCACCATGATTGGCACTTCCAGCCATTTGTCGGATAAATGCTCCCAGTTTGCTATTCCTTCGCTGTGCCATTACGCCTTCCCCTACTGCGATGAGACTTCATCGGCTCCCAAGCCACGAGACCTCTGCCGCGATGAATGTGAAATTCTGGAAAATGTCCTGTGTCAGACAGAGTATATTTTTGCAAGGTCTAATCCCATGATTCTGATGAGATTAAAGCTGCCCAACTGCGAAGATCTTCCCCAGCCAGATAGCCCCGAAGCTGTCAATTGTATCCGGATTGGGATTCCAATGGCAGATCCCATAAATAAAAGTAAGTTAAAACCGTCTGTGCCTCTGTGCAAAAAACGCTGTTGTGAAAAGGTTGACTGTAAGGGCTTGCGCATCAAAGTTGGAGCTAGAGCTGGGCTTTGAAAGCTCGCAGGCGCCGCGCTCTGGAATTACCCCGCTCCCGCACTTCTCCCCTACCTAGTCCAGAGTGGGTAGAAATTCAGCAATACTTTTTCAGTTTTTTTCTTTAGCTGCCTGTGGGCTCGCACTAAATGCTGTTGATTGGTTTCAGGTCTTTTCGAATTAATATGAAGTAGAAAACAAGGACAGTGTAAGCATTTGAATACTGAAGAACGTCGTAGCTTCAGCCTCTTTTTTTCCCGCCGATGTGCTCCAGCAAGACCAGGGGTGCAGTGTAGGGGTGCTCGGCAGGAGGAACATCTGTAGGGGCCGGGGCCGTCCTTGTCTAATACAGCCAAATTTTAGACCGCAGCTGAGCTTACTCTTTGATCAGGCTGGGCTGCAGCCTGTTCACAGCCCTTATACATCTGAATAGTCAAATATAAAACGTGGCTCCCACAAATTCTCCACCTTTATATGAAAATAATGGTTGCAATTCAGGTTCCCACTGTAGTTTTTACTTCTTTTGTGTATCTTATATTAAAAACGCTTGGCATAAGCTGTTTTCATTACAGAAGCATAAGCTTTAAATCCTCCCAGGAATGTGAATGCAAAGCAGGCCCTGCATTACGGCCGCAGCAAATTGGGAGCCCGCGCTCCCAAACTGGGTTTCCCGGCCCTGAGCCAGCAGCAGCACGCTGGGGCTGGGGGATGCCGGCAGCTCGCCACCCCCGGGTGCTGCGGCCGTCTGCCTTGCCGACGCCAACTGTGGCTTTGGGGTTTTATTTCTTTATTTTTATTTTCAGATCACAAATGCTACAACGGCACAGGAGTAGATTACCGGGGGACGGTGAGCGTGACCAGGTCGGGGCGGCAGTGCCAGCCGTGGAACTCGCAGTACCCCCACACGCACACCTTCACCGCCATCAGGTACCCCGAGCTCAACGGGGGCCACTCCTACTGCCGCAACCCAGGGAACCAGAAGGACGCCCCGTGGTGCTTCACCTTGGATGAGAACTTTAAATCTGAGCTTTGTGACGTCCCGGCATGTGGTAATTACTGACCTTTTTTTACCTTTCGCTTGGAATAAAGAGGGAAACCGTTTTGTCACAGCCGTACAGCCGTCCTGCAAAACAGGAGCTCAGGGGAGCTGTGCCCAACGTGTCTTTTTGGAATCCCTGAAAAGAGAGCTGTAGGACAGGCTAACTACAGAAAAGCAAACACAGCAGCCCTGCCCCGGGGACGCCTTCGAACATTCGTTGCCCGTGCAGCTGGCAAAGTGGTGGCAGGAAAATATTTCACTAGGGAATGAATACCTGAGCTCTCCCCCGAAGGTGATGAAGCTGCGGCATGTTACCAGCCCGAGCGTCCCAGGCTTTCCAGGTTGCCGTTACGATCAGTACAACTCCTGAGTCCAAATTAAATCGGATCACAGAAATTGTACTGTTGACGCTGATCCACAAAGTGGTTATAAAACGTTCTCCATTTCACTTGGTTTATTAAGAGCCATTTTAATAAATGCAAACCTCGCTTAACAGAGCTCAGGCCTTGTTTAAAAAACAGAGATGATCTTGCCAGATCCTCTTAGCTGTATTTTAGGTTTGTGTTTACAGAACCACCCTGGCTGCATTTTGGTTTTGCAAAATGAACAAAAATGGAGATTTAGCTCTCATTTTATTCTGCTTTTCTGAGACCCAGGGGGAGTGGATGGAAGACCTGAAGAAATGGTCCCTAATTGTTTATCTGCATTTAAAAATAACAATATTGATACACGCCGAGAAAAAAATACAGCTATTTGCATGGACATGCCAAAAATGCACCCAGAAATGTTCTGGAAATTCACGGTACAAAGTTTCACACAAAATTTTATGTTGCCTACAAGTTGTCACAGTAACATTACCTTTCCCCTTGGAAAGGAGATACCTTTTGATGTTACTGTTCAATAGCCAGAACCAAATTAAATTATTTCTGGTTATGGTTATGAACATTCCTGCAGTGAGACATGTTTGGAGCCTGCTCCAAAGTCTTTTTCAATTAATGGAAAGATGGGAATCAATGCCAAAATGGGATCTAAATTATGGTCTTACTGAAAGAGTAGATCAGGGGAAAGGCAGACAGTCTGGGCTACATCATGTGCATCTCAAACCCTCTCTAACATTCGTATACGCTTTTTAGAGCCCCGTATCTCTTCTGCTATTAGTTCAGTGCATTTAACTTCTGTTATTTTTCTTGTTAATTAGGCACAGTGATAGATTGACTACACAAGAATAGCTCAAGCTATATAAACTGTTCTGAAGATCTTTTTCAGCCCTTCAGTACAAAAATCTGGATCCGAGTAGCAGTCAGCAGGACTCCCCTTAGCGTACTGTCGGCTCTTGGCTCTCCACGCCGGGAGCTGCACGGCTGCAGGCGCAGCCGTGGCTCAGCCCCAGGGGATTTCGGCAGCTCGCTTTGGGCAAGTTCAGGGGTCTCTGCGTGATGCTGTTGAGCTTTCTGTACTCCGCTGCGCTGTCACTGTACGACCTTTCAGCCGTGTGCATTTTGTGTTGCCCACAACTTCTGGATAATTGGGTAATTAAGAGTTGGGAGAGGGGGGGGACACGACACTTGCCAGGCCCCCTCTAGATGGGCTCTGAGATCCCAGGACTGGCTCAGTCTTTTGATCTGAAATAACTGAAAGCAGGACGCTTTTGGACGTGTTGCAAAAGTCTCTGATTTGAACGTTTTACTAGATAATAAATGAGATCGGGTGGCTGGCTTGAAGAATTCCTGACAAGGGTTTTAATTACCTCTCACCACTGCCTTAAATGGTACTCGCTGGGTTTTATGGCATTATTATTCTAAATACAGACAAATAGAGCTATATCAGGTGAGTAGTAATTTGATTGTTAAATGCTAATCTGCATATTAAACCCAAAATACCACGTGGGACTTGCATTCTGCTGGTTTTGCACTGGCTGAAAGAGCCGTTTCAGGCACATTTCAATAAGCATTGTGCATTCTGCCTCACCAGGACATGCCTAGATGGGAAGTGGATTTAATTAGGGTGGCTCCCAAGAAACCTATTAACCTAATGAGGCTTCACGGTAGGGGCTGCTACTTAATAAGAATAATAATTCCTTTTGACTGGAATAGCTCAGGTGATGAACTAGTGCCCAGGTCTCCGTCTGCCTCGTGCTGATGCTTTCTTTTCCTTTCTTCAACTGTATCTTTCAGTTGTCTCGCAAGCCGCAATAGATTCGTTTCATAAAGATTTGTCAGCCTGAATATAGGAAGACGTGAAACACGGAGCAATTCAAGCATGAGGCTTAGCAAAGACAAATGTAAGAAGGTTTTGAAGGAGAGGGGAGAGGCACTGGTTGTGTGTCCGTGCTGGAGGGCAGCAGCTCACGAAGGAAACCCGCAGTAGGTCCACGCTGTAGAGCTGGACGTTCACTGAAGACAGGGCGAGAGCACACACTGCCCTTCTGCTGCACACAGGGAGACCGTAACGGGGACGGTCTGTAGTCCTCTCTTGTTTCCCAAAGGCCATAGAAACATTTGGATTACCTCTCCTCTCAATTAAAACCCAGATGGCACGACTTAATCTAAAAAGAATGGTCCAAA